CGCTGCGTCAAGCAGTCTGGGGTGCTTTCGAGCTTAATTGAAGCCTTTGGTCGGGAGACGGTCCAACGAAGAGAATGAAAGGCAAAGGGAAAGTCGTAAGTAACTGATTACTTTCGACGTATCCAATTCATGATGACCGTGCTTTGCCAGGCAGCCATTTGATGTTTGATCAAGCTCTGGTTGTGAGGGAGTCCTCGCTGATCATGTTAGGCGACCTAGCGACCTGAAACGAAACATTCCTGAGCCCCAACCTTAATCCTGATTTACCCCCGCAGGAACTTCAGTTGTAGATTTTTTGGTATGGGAACCCTGTCGGAATACTATTCTCCCAGGACAAACTGGTTAAGCCAAAGCGCCAGCGAGCATCTGCACTGCTTTCTCTTTCTGTGCTCCAGCTCCCTCGGCCTGAAAAGGGGGCAGTGTAGGGGAATAGGAATAGGGATTTAGGGTTTAGGGTACAAAGAGTTCAGATCAACAAGGCTGTAGGGCTTGCGGAGCTGGTGCCATTGTACACTTCACGACTTCTTGGCTGTTGAATGCTCCGATGCTGCCGTGAAACTTGCTGATGGTGACTGGTGCCGCCCAGTCAACTACAGCTTCGTACGACATCGACAAATGCAAAGACGTGGATGGAAGGGAAAGTGGGTAGCTGTTGCTTCCAGTCCGAACAACAACAGCGGAACGTCGTGAAGCTCACAACAAGTCTGGTACAATGCATAAACACCTCGATACATTGAGTTTGTGTATTATGCCTACAATCTGAGTACCTTCTTACGAGTCATGCAGAACGGGTGAGCACGAAGAGTCTTTGACACAACTTGAAGCTCTAAACCCTAAACCCTGCATCCCGAACCCTGTACCCTAAGAGCCACTAGGCCCGAGGCCCTCCAACTGTGCCGGGCTTCTCTGAGTCGTTCCAGCTCTCGGCCACAGGCCAGGCATACCATCAGGAGCGGCTGGCAGCCGATCTCCTCGGGTGTTTGGAGTCCATCAAAGCGGCTTCTTTTTGTTCAGTAAGGTTGGCTGGGTGAGAGACAAAGATACCAGCGATGCGAACACAAAGTCCGCAAATACAGACGACCTATATACTAAGAAGGAAGTTCTTAATGCCGGCGCGACAGGGGGCTCCTGTAAGCCATGTCAACTTAGCTCAGGACCCCCGCGTGTAATTCCTAACTGCTCCCGTCGAGTTGCCAGGGGATTCGAAATAAGTACCAACGACCAGATTAACCCAGGCATACTTAAACCTCTCTAGGGCCTCTAGGGGGATCATGTCGGGGCGGGATGTGACCCACTCGTAGTGAAAGATCTCACGATCTCCTGAAAGCTGCACTGACTCCAGAAATGAATCTTGCAAAACTACGACATAAGGTTGCCTGTTGCATGCACACCAACCAATCAAAAGGCGGCAGGGACCCAACCAAAGGTCCGGATTCTCTGTCCGCACAAGGAATCCTTGAAATCTCTCAACAAATCCTGAAGCTCTAAAGAGGGTCTGGGGGCTGGGGAGCTAGCCGATAAAGCAACGCCTGCGACCGAGGTGCTAATTGAAATGCTTTCCACCTTAGTTGAATCGCGCAGTGCTTGCTGACGGAACCGAGGGCCCTGATGTGGCTTTGCGATGTGGGTCTGCCAGCATTGCCAGCCAAGCTGAGCGGCTGAGCCTCTTGGCTTAGACAGGGTGGGGTCATGCTCTGCCCAAGAAGAACTACACAGGCCAACCCTTTTTGCCCCGAACCCCATCCTCTACTGTGGCATCTGGCACCCTCAGACCCTCTTTACAGACAGGGGCTATAGGGGCCTTGCTAGTCACAACGGGGTCTCTGCGTATAGTATAGTACAGCATGGCAAAGTCTACCTGATCTCAACCCCTCAAGTTCCCTCTCAACCCTTAAGTTCAACCCCCGTCAAAGAAAAAACTAAAAGCAGGCACCCCTGAACCGTTTTCTGCCCTAAACCTGAAGAACCCTTACCCCCACCCCCCACCCTTCTTGGAAAACCCTCTCAGGTGAGGGGCTCCTTGGAGGAGAGCGCCTGCGCGTCGCTCAGAGGCCGCACCTCTTTGCGCTCTGGACAGGGGTCTATTAGGGTTGGGGTTTGGGACATTTAGGACTCCGGGGTTTGGGAGGGTTTGGGGGTTTGGGGCTTGGGGGTGATGGAGAGAGATACGGTCTCAGAATGGACTAGGGTTATGGAAGCTCAAGGTCGGCAGCACCAAGGGTTTTGGGCTTTGGGGTTTCGGGTTGGCGGAGGGTTCAGGGCTGGCTGTGTAGTGTAGGGGCTGGAAGACTGTCAACGTAGATGACTTGGATTCCAGAGGGATGGCTGAGGATTTCGGGCGGATGCTTTTGCCTCCTGCATTGCTTGACCATGCTGAGGGTTTGGCGCGTCAAAATGGATAAGGCTAGGGAGAAGCCTTAAGCATGTAGGATGGTTTGGGCTTCAGGCGGGTTTATGGCTTAAGGTTGAGATGGGCCGTGGCTAAGCCATGGCTGCTCACACGAGGATGCCATAATTTGGGGGCTGAGCGACCCACAAGATCGAAACCCCTAAACTCAAGATAATGCATACACTAGTCGAGGGGAGGTGCTCTTTGAGTCTTGGGGCATCGGCCTTGTGTTCGGGTGACGGACGAGGCTCAGTTGGGGCACCAAGCATCCTAGAGAGTTCTACGTAATGCCTGTAGGGTTCGGAGGCTTGTAGCCATAAGCTTATGTAGCTGTTGGGGTATCTTGTGGTTTTGAATAATTATACACTCGGGGCCGCAGTTGAACCTGCACTCTCTTGCGGGTTTCGTGGCCACTGCCGTGCTTCTTCTGACGCTAACTCACAAACCTGCCTAAACCGAAAACTTAAAGCCCAAAACATCCAGGATAGCTACTGTACAGAACTGGGAATAATAAGATTGAGATCAACTCGGGCTCCATTCAGTGCCTCCGACACGTAGACGAGGCCAGGCTCAAGCAAATCGTGCTTTCGCAGATCATCCAGGCAAGCCCGGACTTGTGCCTGCGGGGCATAAGCTTGAGGCCTTCGGCGTCTCTTTTTGACCTGGGATACTCTGCGAATCTACCCGCAGAGGACAACATCTCCTTCAAAGTTCAACGATGTTATGACGGTAGTAAGTGCACAAGAGAACAAGGCGGGGGTGGAGGCTCAGAAACAGATATAATCATAATAATGATGCCGCTGCCGATGAAGATGGCGACGATGGCAAGAGTTTGTGGGTTTATAGTATGCTCACGATAAAAATGAGAGCAGAAAAACAATAATACGAATGCTACTAACAAGAAGAAGAGGAACAATATGACAACTAAACTAAAGTTGCTATTGCTACGGTTATGCATATTAGTGCTACTATTGCTATTGCTACTACTACCATTAGCCACTACAACCAAATGAATACTGTTATTTGCTGGTGGTAGTAGTAGTAGCAGCAGCAGCAGTAGCAGCAGGCGTAACAATAGGAGTAGAAGTAGGGGTAGGCGTAGGCTGAGGCGTAGGCGTGTGGGCCTCGGCGAAGAAGCGTAGGCTAGGCGTGGGAGTAATAGTAGTAGTAGTAGCAGTAGTAGTAGTAGTAGTAGTAGTAGTAGTAGTAGTAGTAGTAATAGTAGTAGTAGTAGTGGTAGTAGTAGTAGTGGTAGTAGTGGTAGTAGTAGTTTCTGCGTGTAGTGCAG